CGCATCGCACGCTCTTTCATCAACAAGAAGCCCTCCCCTCACCTAAAAGTCACGGTTTTGCACCGCTCGAAGGAAAGTCCCATTGGAAAGGAAGTTGCTCGAGGCGATCGCTATCAAGCGGTTATCCCCCGAAATAAACAACAGGGACGAGCTGATGGAGGCAATGAGGCTGATTGCATAGCGGTCGCGATAAAGAAGTCCTAGCAGTTGTCACGCATGTCGCATTCTTAGGGACTTTTAGTTGCATTGGAGGTCGGTCAGGGGTAGGTCGTATTATATGATGATTCGTCAACTAATGTAGGCTTTTGCTTATGTTGTATTAAGACTCTTTGGCGACCGTCTAGTTGTTAAGAGGGGCCCAGCCTGGTAGTACTTTGATCAGCTTGATTGTTGTAAGGAATTGAAGTACTATGTATGCTTGTTTTATTTGAGGTCTGAAGAAGCTGTTACCACAGCGAAAGCTTACCAATGAAAATTTCATATCGAGTACTCATTGAATATTGTTGAAGAAAACATTGCAATGATAATGACTGACGTAAACGCAGTCTTGCATTTCAAAAGCACATGTATTCCACGCAAATCGTACGGGTGGAGTGAGGTCAAAGAATTCTGTGATTTTCTCATGGGTGGAGTCGAGCTCACCCAAAGAACTCACCTCACCAACTTTTTCCCTGTTACACCTGTCTTTGAAAGACTGAAGAAGAAGAACATGGCGCGCCAAAAATAGTAGTCCCAGCTCCGCCCATACGATCAATGCGTACCAAGCCTTCTTTCTTTTCTCTATCGTTTTCTCATACGCTTCTTTCAACAGACGGATACCTTAATAGCTATCGCTTCCTCGCTCATTGCATCACCACCACAATAGGTGACCACCACTCGGTTATTGTTGATATCGCGAACTTCCAAGTAGTCAGTAGGGCACGGGTATCGTGAATAATCCACTAAAATTGAGCACATTATCAATTTTGCGCGCAAGCGTACAGTTTTCGCTGCAGACGCTGTTATGGACTTGTCAGAACGACTGGGTTTGACGCGGCGCCAACTCGTTCTTCACCAACTGCTCGAGCGGATAAGCGACTTGAATTGGTGGAAAACGGGCTAGAGATGAGCCAAATCCAGCCCCTCCTGACTGCACCAGCGTCTGCGGCCAAAACGACCATGTACCAAATCATTATAATACAGAAATATTTCAACAGAAGCCATCCTATAGAATAGCCTAGTTTGCTCACTTTTCGAATCGGATAGATCGAAATCAAGAAGCCTCAGGGCAATCACGGATTTCGCCGCCTCTCCTTCCGGGGCTATCATATATTCGCATTGTAAATTCTGATTTGGATAATGATTTGGATAATTTGGTGACGAAATCACTCCGTGACTGAGACGGAATACTGCGCCGCACTCTGAAAAAACATGCGCAGGTTGAAAAACAAAATCAGAAAGAAGTGCTTGAAATCTCACGAGCTTCCCATTCAGCCCGAAATCCGGCAGCTGTTGTCGATCCGTCTGATGTGAAGTTAAGTCTGAAAAATCTGATATTGTAAACGGCAGCACGATTCCATGGTTTCCTCTATTTATCCTCCTCCACAGTCTTGGGTGCCTAGTAAGGAATGAAAGCGATTTCGAGTAGCTCTAGAAATCAGGAAAGCTGTTGTGAAAATGGATGAACAGAAAGCGTGGAACACCGTGCTGCGTTGGCGGTAGACATGGTACCGTATGGCTTTGAAGTCTTACATTGGCCCGCGAAGGGGAGGGGTATGGGAGGAAATGGGCGCTGTTCCCTTGAGTCGGATGGAAGCAGTAGCTTGGCTGTGTTCAGCAGGTTAAGGCATTTTGCTTGCAAACTGTTTTCGTCATAGTCGGGATGAAAAATGGGTCCTTTAGAAATAAAGGTGTCTGTCCGATCAGGAACGTCTGGGGCGCTCCATGCAGGTCATATGGGCGGAGATAATGGCGCAGGCAGATAACCACCGGACATTTCTCATTGGCGCGTCCCTCATTCCGAAAGACTCAAATAATGGACAAGGAAGGCAAATGGCTCTCTGTCCTGCACATATGATCAGCGTGGACTGTGCTTTAATGGTCTGAAGGTGCATAGATCAAGAGCCAGGATTGCTGCAAGAATTTTACCTGATTCGATTACTTTCCGATCTGAACGCTTTTGGAAGAGTAATACCACAAAGCGGTTCGTTAGCTTCTTCGTCTTCGAAAAGGAAGAAATAGTCGCCAATCGGTGCTATAGCTCTCGACGAGTGCTCTTGTGAGATCTGTAATGTGAAAATCTAAAGGCGCACGACATCAGTAGATTAGATTAGATAAATAAATAATTAAATAAATAAATAAGCAAGTAAATAAGTAAGATAAATAAAGTGGCAGAAGCTGAATTAGAGGAATCAGTGATGATACCGTAAGTGAATCCTTCAGGCAGCCTTCGGAAGGTGCAACGTCGAAGTGAGTGAACTGGAGGTGAATATGATAACCTAGTGGCACCTAAAAATTTGCACTTACTCTATTTTTCACCAATCTTCTTATTGATTCACCATTTTTAATCTTCCTGTAGTTGAACAATATTTTTCATATATTTTTTTCTAATAATCATCCTCACTTCGCGTGTGCAGATGCTTTGCTCGACAACTGCATCCCGTCGGGGCACGATTCCTTGGCCCTGTGAGAGCTAATTTGAAAATACGACCCCACCCCCCCTCTAAAATTTTCCGTAGATTTTGTCCTGGCTTCCTAAACTTCTTAAACTTCCCACGACTTTTGCGCAGTTTTTTTTCTCAAAAAACTTGCCGTCGAGTAGTCGGGAGGAGGGAGGAGGATTAGAGTGTACGCGAAAGAGAAAGTCAACAACCGAAACATATCCCACAAGGGCAAGTACGACTCTCCTCCTTCCAAAGGCCAAATACGACCCCTCGCTAATGGATCCCCAACGTGCGGTGCCTCGATTCCAGTGGCCTACTGTGACAGTGTAAGCAGCGATCAGTGAGCAGCTTAACTGTAAACAGCAAACTTGAACAATTGTAAACATGAAGATTTAAAGATCCAGTCTAAGAAGGGCTGGCTAAATTTCGTACTGTTGAAATCAGGGTACGACGGACGTTCGAATGGGGATGGTATTTGGTCGCCAGAGAGGGAAGTCCTGTTTAGCTGGGGAAAATTTTCGGACAAGTGATTTTTCCCCTTCCATGCGCACTTGATATCTCCTCCTCCCGTTTCTCTATTAGACGGCAAATTCGATGTTCCACGGTAAAAATGGAGTTTCGTAGGGTGAATGGTCGATATGGAAGGTAGTCCTTCCGGAGGAGAGAACGAGGGGTGGGGGGGGGGGAGCTATTTAGCAGAAATTC